TCCTGACCTCAGGTGATCCACCTGACGTCCCAAAGTGCTTGGATTACAGACACTCGCCACTGCGCCCGCTTATACTTTTCAAGTTGTACTGTCGTCATATGGTATCTGTTTCCCATCATATTATAAGTATGTGATAGCCAGAGCTATGCTACTGTATTGATCTTTGGAATCCTGATACCAAGCAAAATACCGCTTTTAGCGTACAAGCTGGTTCCCACTGAATTAATAGCTTTCGTACTTGTCCAATGCTTAATCCTTGGATAGCATCAATTTGCCTCAGTCGCTTCACATTACAATTAGTGATAATAAGTATTCTGAGATCAAACGGGGGTCAAGTATGAAATGTAGCACTTGAAAAGAATCTTCCCTCATTCTTCTCAAGCTTTATGTTACAGCTTGAAAGAAGAAAATGGGAAAGAGAAAAAGGGGGAGCTGAAATTTGAGGAAGGAAGGAGAACAGATCAGAATAGCTCAGAATCCTTGAAGCTAGGAATATCAGAAAGCAATTAAGCCTTTTTAAAACTTAAGCTGTTCTCTCTCTCTAAAAGACAAGCAACATAGGTCAACAAAAGCAATATACTTACTAGTATTGCTAAACTTGAAATTAACTGGATAATTTGAGATTTCCTCAAAACTTGCACAAAACATGAAAAGGCTGTAACTGAAATCCATGTCCACTACCTACCAGTTGAGGGAAAATGAACACCTGACATCTCTGAGTTGCTCCTCATTAGTAACAACACATTTCATAATAACACCTACTACACAGGGCTACTATTACGACTTAACAGATATCACATGTATAACAGATATTAGCAAGAGGCTCAGGAAATGTTCTTCGTGTTCTCTTTCCTCTGTCTCCAAACAGTGCTACAGAGGGGGAAAAAACAAAACAAGACAAATACCGCTCGGTAGGTTTTTCCAATTGTTTTTTTCTCAGCTTTCGACCAAACTTTTCTCAACACTTAACACTGGAACCCAATAAATTCTAATTCTCAAACCTGCTGGTTGATTTTTCATCACTGTTCAATAAATTTTTTTCAAAGTTGGAGAACAATCCTACATAAATAAACACACAAAAATCTCACAAGTAAAGGGAATAAATACCACTTGAAATGCTTAAGAAGTAGAGCATTCCAAATCAATACTTTATTAAGACACTTAACATGTAATCCCCATACCAATTTCAGTCACTTTCTTTTACCTCTGTACATATGAAAAAATTATTGTAACTGGGTAGGGTTTAAAAAAATAAAATTAAAATTCCTTCTAAAGCTAGACTTTCTTCCCTTTCTCCCAGCACTGAGAATATTTCTTTAATTTGCAACCAACAAAAACACCATTTTAAAAAACCATGAATAGAGAACACCAAGATTCTAGTAAAAATGTCAATAATATAGTCTTACTTTGTGGAACAGAAAAAAGACAGGAGTAAGATAACATGTACGTTTAACACTGTAGTGACTACTGTCATGTGCCCTTTCCACCTACTCCAGTGGTTTATAGTCTCTCACTAGACAGGAAGACACCTTCTTTTTCATACTCTTCTGCAGAGGGACCTCCATTTGAATCCCTATTCTGCCTTCTGACCAGTTGTGATCACAGACAAATGCTACTTAACATGTTCAGGCTGCAGTTAATTCATCTATAAAACAGAGTTGATTATTTCTACCTTGCAGAATTGTTGAGAAGAACAGACAAGAACACAACCTCAATGCTGGTAAAGACAGCTAATCTTTCTGAATGTTTAACATTTGCCACATACTTTTCTAAGTATTTTCCAAACAGTATCTTCAATCCTTAAAACAACTATAGTATATGAAATTGTTACTATGATTATCACAAAGCTAGAAGGTGACAAAGTCGGGATGTGAATATAGAAAAACTGACACAAAAACCAAGGGAGACATACTAGCTCCAAACTGCTATTACCAGTGTTCAGTAAGTGCTAAAAATGTTAGGTATTATTAAAATCCAACTGCCTTAAGGGCTCACATCTATAATCCCAGTACTTTGGGAGGCTGAGGCGGGTGGATCACGAGGTCAGGAGATCAAGATCATTCTGGCCAACATGGTGAAACATCGTCTCTACTAAAAATAAAAAATTAGCTGGGCATGGCGGCACGTGCCTGCAGTCCTAGCTACTCGGGAGACTGAGACAACAGAATTGCTTGAACCCAGGATGTGGAGGCTGCAGTGAGCCAAGATTGTGCCACTGCACTCCAGCCTGGGCGACAGAGCAAGACTCCATCTCAAAAAAAAAAAGAAATCCAAATGCCTTAAGAATTTACGAATTTTTAATCTATAATATACTCAAGAAAAACAATAAACAAATAAGACATTAGAAAAAAGCTATAAATGCTTAATCTTTTTTTTTTCCTTTGAGACGGAGTCTTGCTCTGTCACCCAGGCTAGAGGGCAGTGGCACAATCTCAGCTCACTGCAGCCTCGGCCTCCCAGGTTCTCCTGCCTCAGCCTCAAAAGTAGCTGGGACTATAGGCGTGTGCCACCACGCCCAGCTAATTTTTGTAGTTTTAGTAGAGATAGAGTTTCACCGTGTTGGCCAGGCTGTTTCTCAAATCCCTGACCTCAGGTGATCTACCCTCCTCGGCCTCCCAAAGTGCTCAGATTATAGGCGTGAGCCACTGCACCTAGCTGCTCAATCTTTTTGATCTCTCTCTCTCTTTTCTTTTTTGAAGAACAGAACACTTACATAATTTCAAAGAATCTCCCCATAAATTACTTATTAATTTCAACAAGGAAAAGTAGTAACTCTATAGTGGAGAAATCTGGCAGATACCACCTTATTCAAATCGTAAAACTTAACCTCATCAATATGAGAACAAACTTGACATCATGTGCCTCAAGGAGGATGCACTGAGAACACAACGTGGCTTTAGTAGTGATTCTCTGAAGAGTGTATGATCTGAATCTAATCAAAAGGAAACTTCAGGTAAGCCCACACTGGGGAACATTTTACAAAATAACTGGTTTGTACTCTTTGAAAATATTAAGGCAAAGAAAGAGAAAGGCTAATGAACTGCTGCAGAGTGAAGAACTCTAAATAACATGACAACAAAATTCAATGCATGGTCTAGATGATCCTGGACCATGAAAACAGCTATAAAAGATCCACGTGAGACAACTGAGATTTGACAATGAACTGTGTTATAAGATATTACTGCATCAACGTTCAATTTCTTGATAACTGTATTTTGGTTATATAAGGCATTGACCTTATGGTTAGGAAACATACAACAAAGTATTAGAAGTAAAGTTCATGATGTCTCCAATTTACTTGCAAATGGTATAAAAAAATATATTGATAAAGAGAATTATAAAGCAAGTGTGGAAAAAATGGTTTATCTGGGTAAAAAGTACATGAGAGTTTCTTTTACACTTCTGTGAGTTTGAAATTTTGTTAAAATATAAAATTACAAAAAAAAAAATTTCAGAAACATAGATGGGGATTTACATATTTAGAGTAAGAAAAATTATTTCCCACCTGGCACCCCTAATTTTATCCCCTAAAGTCACATATAATGATTTGAATATTTTTAAATGTACAGGAAATAGAAATTTGTGGTTAAAATGACTGTAGAACATATCTTCCCATTTAGAACAGGAGAATCATGGTCACATAGATTAACTTGAAAGATCATCACTTATTGGTCCAATCTTAAACTATAGGTTGAGCATCCCTAATCTGAAAATCCAAAATCTTAAATGCTCCAAAATCCAAAATTTTATGAGGGCTGACATAATGCCACAAGTGGAAAATTCCACACCTTACATGACAAGTCATGGGAAAAACTGTTTGATGTACAAAATTATTAAAAATATTGTACAAGCCTGACGAGGTAGCTCATGCCTGTAATCCCAGCACTTTGGGAGGTTGAGGTGGGCAGATGGCCTGAGTGCAGCAGGAGTTCGAGACCAGCTTGGGCAACATGGTGAAACCCCATCTCTAAAAAAAAAAATACAAAAATTAGCTGTGCATGGTGGCCTGTAGTCCCAGCTACATGTGAGTTGAGACAGGAGGATGGTGTGAGCCCGGGAGGCTGAGGTTGCAGTGAGCCATGATTGTGCCACTGCACTCCAGGCTGGGTGACAGAGTGAGACTCTGTCTCAAAAATAAAACACAAAACAAAAAACATATATAGTACAAAATCACTTTGAGTTTATGTGTATAAGTGTATGTGAAACATAAATGAATTTCATATTTAGACTTGAGTCCTATCCTCAGGCTATCTCACTATGTATATGCAAATATTCTGAAATCTGAAAAAATCTCAAATTTGAAACACTTCTCACCCCAAGCCTTTCAGATAAGGGATATTCAACCTGTATTAGAATTAATGGAGGAACTGAACTGCTTAATTTTTAGCAGTATTCTACCTATCAAAGGCAGAAAAAGATATTAAACAGTTGGCAACACATAACCATACACACAACTTCTTCAACTAGCAAGATATGTACTACTACTTCATGAAGCAGGAAAATAACTACAAATTCTGGGCCTTCTGAATACATGACAAGGAGAGCCAAAAGGACATCACTGAAACACTGTCCTATTTCTCTGTCCCTATTATAAAATCCACATGGCTTATTTTGATTAGACTAAAGTAGCATGCAAAGCAGAAAATGAAGCATTATTCCTAAAATGATGCTAGAGCAATCATCAGCCAAAAGCGTCAGTCAGGACTCATTCTATTGCATGTGACATGGGAGGAAATGCATTTCTGAAGGAAGAATGCACTCTACTATCATGAAAGAGGTATTCTGATTCTATTATTTACAATATGGCAAAGATGTCTAAAGAAGAAAAAACAAAGCAAACAAACACCTCACTTTATGTGACACAACCTTCTATGATGCAAACCTCATAAGTTCATCATGCTAAATCTTCAAAGACTCTTTTTTAAAAGGCTAAGACTGTGGAAATAAAAAGAAAGTTTGAGCAGGAAAAGATCAAGAACTGGTGTAAAGCTAAAGCAGACCTGCTTCCTCATCCTCCTCCTCCTCTTCCTCATCATCGGAAGTTGATGACAAGGGAGTTGGTGCGGAGCTAGCTTGGTTATTAACATATTCACCATACTGCATGCCTGTAAAGTGGAAAGCACAAACATAAGAGTCAAACCAACAGGAAAGATGAGAAACAAAATTTTGACATTGCATTAAAAGTGAGAAAGAACTCTGACATTCCAAAGAACATCCCAACATGCATATTAATATTAGCAAATTTATTATCAAAACTAGAACCATTAGAAAATCTCTGCAAAGCAGTTTAGTAAAAGCAGCTTTAATATGAACTGGCTTACGTGTGAAAAGGTATATATCATGTATTGTACATTACATTGTTAGTATTTAGGAAGCTGAAATAATATTCTCTGAAAGGTTTACTGAGCTCTATATACATTTATCTTCTTTGACCTTAGGGCCCTTATATATTTCCTTTGGGATTCTGCATTTTTGGTGGGCAGTTGATCATTTATAGTGAACTTCTTTTGTACAGCATACAAAACACATACTTGGTACCTTCCTTCTGCTAATGTCACCTTGACGGCAACTCAGTTCCCATAACGGAAAAAGAATGACTGTCAAAGAAAAAAACTGTATTCAGTATAGCTCTCCGCTAACAGTGGATACTCTGGGAGTGGGGTGGGGGGGGGGGCAAGGGGGTTGCAGGACTTACTGTGACCCTACAAGTGTGACAATTACAAAAATCTTAATTTTTTGAGACAGCCAGCCATGTCGGTATCATCTTGTTGCCTACATGTGAGTCTGAGGCAAGTGAATAAGACTGGTCCTGTGTGAAATATACCAACAGAAGGCAGATTCTGCAGAAAAGGGCACAATGAACTGGTATTGGTGACTGTATACACTTCTCTTTAAAAAAAAGTAATTGGGTATTTCTATTATTTGATCTGGCAGAATCAGGACTTTAAAATTTAACATCTATACAATTTTTAAGAGAGAAAATAAAAATAATCTTAAAAATGAAAACACGTCATAAATAAGAATAAACATCCTTGTATGGAAAATCTCATAGCTCTACTTTGAAAAAAAGAAAAAAGAAAGCTCAGAAACATAGTGGGGATTTTCAAGAACACTTCCTAATAAGGGGGGGTACAATGAAGCCCTGACTCACCAAAATCACATGGTAGTGCTTTAATGGTCTCTTTATTTTTTTTCAGGTGACTAACATACTTGATTAGCATGGATAAACAACTGATTTCTAGAGTGAGAAAAAAGCTATTAAAGAAAAAAATTAAGAGTTTAGAAGCAAAGGTTAAACTGTAGATGAATGAAGCTTTGATCTTTAAACTATGACTAAAATGTTATGGAAAAATCTGCTAGCTTTGCTGAAACATTTTTGATATCAGTATAATAGTATCACAAATTCATGTGAGAAAATAAAAATCAATGTAAAATAGGTTCAGGTAATACAAGAAACCAACTTAATATCTTGAAAAAACAAATTCGGAGTGGCATGTTCCTCTGACAAAAGCCCAATTAAAATGAAAATTTGATCCAAGCACAATAGCTCATGTCTATAAACCCAGCACTTTGGGAGACTCAGGCAGGAATATCACTTGAAGTCTGGAGTTCAAGATCAGCCTGGGCAACATAGTGAGACCCCATTTCTGTAAAAAGTAAATGGTGCCCTGCTCTAGATTGGGTACAGCACATACAGACTGACAAACAGGGAGCTATAGTCAGAAAGGGGTTGATAGCCAAGTCATCTATTCTAGCATAAGTGAATGACTATAAGAGCTTCCTGAAGTGCCTCTAATTCAGATTCTCTTTAAGTGCCAGAATGTAGGTATGAGATACATAGATCAACTACACAAGGTGGTAAAATATGACATCCTTTCCAGAGCTCAGCCTGAAACCCATTGTAGAAATGTATGTACATGGAGTAGCTACCTCTACCACCACCATCACCACCACAAATGTTACATCATAATTTATTCTACCTTAACCAGGGCTTCCAAGGTATAAATCTACTAAAACAAGAAACATGAAACACTTTATAGAATCTAACATGAGGTAGCACTGTTATTCAAAGGGCTCCATATCTTAGAAAGAACATTTAGTTTAAATTACCTGCCATTAAAGTACCTTCAGGCAAAACTTTCCAGGGGACCATATCCTTGGGGCTGCTTAATATTCTTCAGTGTTCCCTAGATACAGCTATACTAGGAATAAATCAAACTAATATTAAGAGAACAAATCTCCTGTAGAGATTAGCTTTTTTTAAATTCAGGAGTTCAGACTTTTGAGTAACTGCTCGCTTTCCTAAACTAGAAAGTAAATACTAAAGACTTTTCCAGGGTCCCCACAAAAGAATGATTTTAAGGGAATCAGTTTTCAGATATAAATTCCCATAAGTGCTCTCTTTCCTCAAACTTATCCACCTAACAAAGTGCCTGTGTTAATGACAACCTTTCTTTTACTTTACAAAGGGAACACATGGCCTTAGCTTATCCTCATTCTTACCATGATACGCTGCTCTAATGTATACAAGTCTCTCATTATACAGTACACAGTAAGAAATACCAAACAGAGAAGCAGCATGACATTATGGATAAAGATGGGGACTCTGGGTTCAACTTCAGGTTCTATCACTTACTACTAGTACGTCCTTGGGCAAGTTACTAACCTCTGTTCTTCATTTATATTATCTATAAAATGGGGTAACACTTCAAATGGTTGTGGTAAGGATTAAATGAGTTAATATATTTCACATGCTTAGAATGGTGCATGACATACACCAAATGTGAAATAAAGCTATATCACTAACTTTAAAAACATATTTTTGTGTATATTTAAATTATTTTCAGCTATTCTTTTTAGGGCACATGATTAGTGAGAAAAAAAAGAACCTCTCACTGACCTGACTAGCACACTCAGTCCTGCTATTTATTTATTTATAAGACAGTTTCACTCTGTTGCCCAGGCTGGAGTACAGTGGCAGGATCTCAGCTCACTGAAACCTCTGCTTCCCGAGTGCAAGCAATTTTTCTGCCTCAGCCTCTTAAGTAGCTGGGATTACAGGCCAGCTAATTTTTTTGTATTTTTAGTAGAAATGGGGTTTCACGATATTGTCCAGGCTGGTCTCCAACTCCTGAATGATCCACCTACCTTGGCCTCTCAAAATGCTGAGATTACAGGCATGAGCCACCATGCCCGGTCGTAATTATTTTAAAACCAAATGGAATATTTTCTAGAACTACCAAGTGTTGTTAAGATATACTCACTAAAACTCACAGATAAAAAATTCTGTGATTTCTTTCAGAGTCAATGTGAGATGTATAAGAAAATATTTTACAACATTAAGATAAAATATAATATAGTCAATTCTTAATGTTTATATTTTATAAAATATTTAACACTTTCCATATCCTTTTAACAAAAAAGTATCTACCAACAAGTGAATCAACTAGTACTTAGCAGTATATGCTTTGAGACGTTTTGAGGAGCGCTTTTGCCAATTACGTTACATGGAGACATCATCCATAAAATAAATGGCCTTTATCACAGCTTGACGTTTTTGATACAATCACATTTACAGGGTATGGTAGTCAGGCACAGTGGCTCACACCTGTAATTTCAGCACTTGGGAGGCCAAGGCGGGAGAATCACTTGAGCCTTGGAATTCAAGACCAGCCTGGGCAACACAGTAAGCAACACAGTAAGATCTCATCTCTACAAATAACTTTTTAAAAAAATTAGGTGTGGTGGTGTGTGCCTGTGGCCCTAGCTACTCAGGAGGCTGAGAAGGGAATATCAGGGGCTCAAGGGTCAATGCTGCAGTGAGCTGAGATCTTGCCACTGTACTCTGGCCCGGGCAACAGAGCAAGACCCTGTCTCTAAATAAATGAATAATAATAATAAATAAAGGGTGTGGTAAGATATATTGGCCATGGTTGAGGGAAATTCAAAATATTTTGAGTAACTGCTGATAAGAGTAAAACAAATACTGAATTTGAAGGCAAAAGGTATGCACTGGGCCTGGGTACCTATCCTACTGATTCTGTAGGTCTTTAGGTAAGACATGTAACCTTTCTAAACTTCAATTTCCTCTCTTATAAAAGGAAGCAAAGATACGATATGCTTGTTCCATGTGATGAGAAAGTAAGATAGAAAAAGTTAAAGGAATTTGCAAATTACAAACTGCTATATGAAATAATAATGTTAACAACTATCTACCACCTGGAAAATAAAATCTAAGAAACAATAGTTTCTGACATGTAACTCAGAAGATTAAAAAGAGTCAAAGCAAAATAAAGCAAAAGTACGATACTGCTTTAGTAGAACTCTTCCAATATAATTCTACTCTACTTTATGTGAACAATGTTTCTCTGCAATTATATGTATGAAAATAAAAACTGGGAATGAAACTGATCTGAACACTATCATATTCTAACAATGAATCATATGCTACTCAGATACAAAGCTATAGTGGGGAGAGGAGACAGCCCATTCATTTCACTGAAAGATGTATTTCCAATAAAACATACTTTAAATAAACACAAAAATTCATGATGTTTATGTTGTTTTGACCAATTTTATACAAGCAGTAAAAGTTGTAATGAATGGCCGGGGACAGTGGCTCACACCTGTAATCCCAGCACTTTGGGAGGCATAGGCAGGAGGATCACTTGAGGCCAGGAGTTTGAGACCAGCCTGGTCAAGATGGTGAAACCCCATTTCTACTAAAAATATAAAAATTAGCTAGGCATGTTGGCGCACACATTTAATCCCAACTACTCAGGAGGCTGAGACATGAGAATCTCTTGAACCTGGGAGGCAGAGGTTGCAGGGACCCAAGATCATGCCACTGTACTCCAGCGTGGGTGACAGGGCAAGTCTGTCTCAAAAAAAAAAAAATAAAAACAAAAAAGAGAGAGAGAGAAAAAAAAAAGTTATAATGATTGATGCCTTAATTCAAAGGAAAAAAAATACTATTCAGAGACTTATAGATAATAAATTTTAACATTTCAATTTATATATTATTGTCATGTAATAGCACAGTAGAGTGATAAAAGAATTTCTACCTTAAAAATATATTACGTTATTATATTAAGGAAAGGGGATATGCCTTCAAAGAGAAAAAAGAAAAATGTAAACTTTCCAAATGCCAAAGAAGGACTACTTGTGTTTTTTGGAAAAGGTTGATGGTAGGTATCGTTCCAAAGGATACATTTGAAAGACTAATATAACATCTCTGTTTTAAAAGTCAGACAGCATATGTAATATGTTAAAAATTACATAACTACAAGTAAATTTTTGATGAAAAATTTTAGGTATCAACCTAAAAAATGTTCAAGTAGGTAGTTTAAATTTTTCATGAAAAATTTTAGATATCAATCTAAAATATATTCAAGTAGGTAGTTTATTAAAAAAAAATATAGGGGCTAGTCAAACAAAAATTTGATGTCTCTCCTAAAAATAGGTAAAAAGTGCTTAGCCTTGGGAGAACAACTAAGCAAAGGTGTCTCTGCAGCTGGAAGAAAAAAAGCTAATTTCTTTTTAAGTATTACCACTTTAGTAGGTCCTATCAGGCCCACAGTAAACCCTATGCAGATGACATACTGCACAATTCCAAGAGGCTCCATTCATGCAATGACAATTTGCACCACCATATGCGGTAGCCCAGATCTATCCAAAGACAAAGAAGTAACTAAGAGGCCATTCTCCTACTTATGAAAAAGGAACAATAAAAACAATTCAGATGTCTCTAGTATGATCTTTCTGTTACTTAAGCAAGGAACTTATCTTAGATAAGTTACTTAAGTTATCTTAGATAAGTTACTTAAGCAAGGAACTTATCTTAGATAAATCAGGAGTTTGTCAACAGCCAATGACAACAAAAATTTGGCCTTATTTTATAGAAAGAATACAAGACAGACAGATCTGAGTTAAAAATCTTTTGCTTTGCTACTCATTAACTTGCGCAAGACTCATTAGTCTTGGGCAAGTTACATAGCCTCTGTTAATCTCACTTTTCTCATCTGTAAAAAAGGAAGAATATCTATGTCACAGGATTAATATGTGAATTAATGAGATATAAAATATCTGGTATATTGTATATACAATAAATGGCAGCTTATTCTACTTTCAAAATATATTTTAATAGAAAAAGAAGAAACGTAATTGTTAAGTGGGCAAACCGTTTACAAAAGAATATTTATAAAAAGATGGTAGGATGGTATTCAAAGTAAGATGGTCAAAAAGAAAATATGACAGGAAGAAAGAAATCAGCAGGGGCAATGTAAAAGGTCAAAAAAAAAAAAAAAAGCCAAATATTTAAGAAGTGGAAGGCAGTCATCAATGTAGAAGAAAAACAAGAAAATACACCATTCATTTAGTTAGGGCTTTGATCTATCCTAAAAGCTTTTTTGATTTGTGATAAGCAAAACTACTACTGGCTCTTCACTTTGAAGGCAAATACTTTTAAAAACTGAATTCTATTTCCAGTATACCCACTGGTTTGTTGAGAATCAACAGACACTCTTTGGTGCTGCAGTTCCTTTTCCTAAAAAACCAAGTAAAAAAATGTATAATGTATCATCTGATCAATTGATAGAAAGGTCTCTGTTGACCACATAGACACTCAACAGATATAAGCAATGAGATCACCCAAGGAATTTATCATGCTTTTTCCCTTTTCTCAGTTTTGGACTATAAGAAGGTTCTTTATACTCAAGGTTAGGAGCTGTCACTACACAGTGAGTATAGTTCCTAAAATAATACAATGGTTGCTGTGGAAATACAAACTATAGATTCTTCAAAAAAATTCAATCATCTCTGATCAAATGAAAAATGCCACATATTAATCTAAAACATCACTACTTTGGAATTTTAGCCAGACAGGAGAATAAAAAAAAAAAAAAAAAAAAAAACTGCCAAAAGAAACAACGTGGGGAAGCAGGATCAAAACAACACATTTTATTACCCTTTACTTACTTAACACATGGAGAATGTTAAACAAACAGTAAATCATATAGTTCATCAATGATGCAAGAGTATGGGTTACAATTTCATTTTCACCTCCCTTCATTTGCAAAATTGTGTCAAAGCTTATTTTCTATCATCAGTAACAAAAAGCACAGAAATAATCAAATAGGATATGGAGAGTCACTAAATAATTAAGTCTTGGCTATTTTATCCTGAAAGAAACTATACTACCTTTAAAAAATAGGAAATAAATGTTCCATGACAGAAGGATAAAATAATAAACCATTAAACATTGACACAATGAGTAATTAGCCATAGAAAAAGCTATAAAGACACAAAAGATATATGAAGGACTATGTGTAATTTAATAAACAGAAACACAAAATACAAAATGGTACGTAATTATGTAAAACATATACGAGACACAGTAAGTTAATATTCTAAAAGTTGTTTGGATTGAGATTATAATTTTTTTCATATCTTCTATAAATTAGGATCCTACTGTTTAACTTTTTAAAATCAGCTATTCCAATACGTACGTGTGTCTGTGTGTGCATACAATAATAAATATCTCAAATACCTTTCTGTTGTAATAGCTCTGATGGCTGTGTAACTGAGGTCACAGGCTCAACTGGGTGATTTGCAGTGGGAGGTGTTCTTGTTGATGAGGATCCTGATAAAACAGTGGAAACTACTGGGCTGGACTTGGGAGACTGAACATTTTGCATAACTGGACAGGATAAAGAATCTGCAATTGAAGACAAGAAACTATTTCATCCACAGAAACTTGAAATATATTTAAATAATAGATATTACTATATAATGTATGTAATATATAACTATGTATTACAATTATATATAATAATATATATAACACTAACAAAATACAGTTTATCTGAAGTTCTTGTAGAAACTTCAATAGCATCACATTTACCTAGTACATCTAGAAAAGAAGGTGGTCCAAATGATTTTTTAAAAACTGAAAAATTACTCATCAAATGTTTTAATAAATTTTATTGACAATTTTCCTAAAATATTTCACAATCTTCCTTACCTTCTTAAACAAAATGAACTCAAACAACTTTTACTTACTAATGATCTCTACGAACACTAATTATTGTACAGATTATTTGTACTATGCAATGGTGACTCAGGTAAGGAGACGAATAGAGGTTTCTGACTCTGCAATAATGTGGTCTCTGAATTCCATAAACACTTCCAGTATCAGTTCAGATCTCGTTTTGCACTATAAACTGCCACTTCTCATTTGCTGTTTCTAAACAGATGCCTTATTTCACATGTAACTAAATAAGGGCCTAACCATAACGTGAGGTTGAACTTCTGGAATAAAGTGCACATGGCTCATCATGGGTCTTTGTGATAGCTCAAAATACCAAATGTCTCCTCGAAGGCAAAATCGTCCCTGGTTGAGAAACAATGGGTAAGTTATTGAAGATAATCTTCCAGTTTATCCAACCAAGAGATAACTGAAAAACCTATGGTAAAAGACTAGCGGTGAGCAGTCACTATATACTGAATAAATCTACACACATATACCTGCACATATATGTATGTGTCTTTATGTATGGTGTGTGTGTATACATAAGTAAACAATCTTAGTTCTGGAACTAAAACAAATAGTAATATGGTGACAAAACAAAATGTGTTATATATCCTAAACAGTGTAACAACAACATAAACAGGTATGAGGAACACGGAAAGAAGGCAGAAGGTAGTCTAAATATGTTGACTGCTTCATCATTTTTAGTAGGAAGAGAAACTGTCATTGTGGAAGACTGAAAACATCATCACAGTATTTTACAGTTCCTTTCATTAATATGGACTCTATTTTACTACCCTTTGAACGGGAGCAAGCTGTGACTGACTTTAATCAACAGAATGTGGCAGAAATAAAAGCATACAAGTCCCAGACCTCAAGTCTTAAGGAGCACCACAGCTTATGCCTTTCCCCTATGAAATGCTGCGTGGATTATCATATAGAGAAGCGGTCTAGCCACGTGGAGAAAGACCTAGGCACACCAGTAAAGTGTCTGCACCTGCTGCTAGACATGTGAGTGAAGCCATCTTAGAATCTTCTAGTCCTGCAAATCTCCAGCTAAATGAATTCACATGAACGAGTTCAAGAAAAACCAGCAGAACTACCCAGCAAACTCATAAAACCAAGAAAAATAATAAATCATTGTTATTTTAAACCAGCAATAACTGACATTATCACTAAAACTACCAACATAAAACAGTGATTAAAAATATTCAACGGTATACAAATAAAAACTGAGAAAGATATATTTATTTAAAATTAGGGTCGGGTGTGGTTGCTCATGCCTACAATCCCAGCACTTTAGGAGGCCAAGGTGGGCAGACTGCTTGAGCCCAGGAGTTTGAGACCAGCCTAGGCAACATGGTGAAACCTCATCTCTACCAAAAAATACAAAAATTAGCCAGGCATGGTGGTGCGCCCCTGTAGTCCCCAGCTACTCATGAGACCGAGGTGGGAGGATGGCTTGAGCCCAGGAGGAGGAGGTTGCAGTGAGCCAAGGTCATGCCACTGCATGTCACTGCACTCCAACCTGAGTGAAAGCAGGGGACCCTGTCTCAAAAATATAAAATCAATCATATCAGGTGTATGTGTATATATATGTATGTATCAATACACATGAATATATATAAAGCATAATAAATACCCATGAACTCAGCACCCAATTTTGAAAATAAAACATTTCTAATATTGCTGAAGCTCTCAATATGCTCCTCACAGAAAGCATTCCCCTGCCCCTCCTGAATCATGTTTATTATTCTCTTGTTTTTGTTTTCAAATAGCTTACCACACATATATGCATCCCTAGATATTATTTTTGCTTGTTTTGTAAACTTTATAACAATAACATACTGCAGGTATTCTTCCACGTTTCTTGTGCTACATTCCTGGGATTCACTCATGTTAAGAGTATAGCTCTATTTCATTTTCACTGCGTTCAGAAGTCCAATAGAAGAATATAATTTATTTATTCATTCTGCTATTATGCTATTTATGTTATTTCCAATTTTTTGTTTTCACAAACAGTGTAGCTATGAATACTCATGCAATTGTCCCTGGCATAGATATTCAAGTTTCTCTAGGGCAGAGCTTCTCCACATATATGCCACAGCTCAAATATTTGGAGGTGTGCAGCAAGGGATATTGAATCCCTCAGCCCTGGGGACAGCCCTGTAGGAAATGAGGTCTTTGGCCTACAGGGCAGACTAGTCTCTTTGTCCGGTATCTTAAAAAAAAATACTATTTGCCATAAGAGGCATCCATCTAAAACAGGAAGTGGTGCTGCTTATGGCCTATTCCAAATGTAGCCTACAAACTAGCAACACCTCATGTGGAAGATTGTTACAAAGTAGAATCTTAGGCTAAGCCATAAAAGACCCGGTGAATTAGAACCTACATTTAAACAAGATCCCAGGTGACACATATGCATAGTTTGATGAAGACTTCTCTAGAGCATATAGAAGAGGGATAGCTGTGTTGTGGAGTATGGTTATTTTCAATCCACCAATGCCAAATTTTCCTAAAATACAAATGAACATACTCTCCCACCAAGAGTGTCTAAGAGTTTCCTGTTACTCCATGTCCTCACCATTCTTGGTATTGTTAGACTTTCTATTTTTTACCCATCTGATACTAGGTATAAGAAGATATCCCATTCTAGTTTTAGTTTGCTTTTCACTGTTTATTAATGAGATTGAGTACGTTTTCATTTCATCTTCTGTGCAATGCCTATTCAATTACTTTTCTTCTGGTTTTTGGTCTTTTCCTTATTAATTTCTATGTAGCACTGTGTATTCTGGGTAAATACTGTAAGTATATATATTTTTTTCCCAGTTCACAGCTTGCGTTTTGATCTTCTTCATGTTGTCTTTCAATAAAGAAAAGTTTTAAATTAGAAATGAGTTACCATGTGTATCCTTTATGGCTAGCATTATGTGCACTGTCCTTAAAAATGTCTTCCCTACTCCAAGGTTCTAGAGATAGTCTATATTTTCTCTGAAAAGTTTTAAAGTTTTGCCTTTTTGCATTTACACATTTACTTAACCTGCAATTAGTTTTATACATGGAGACTTTATCCTTCAGATTAAAGCTAAAGTATTACTTCTTTAGGGAAGACTTCCCCTAGGCGTCATGACTAACAGGCTAAATGCACCTAAAGTAATGCTCCCAAGTACTGTACACCTTTGCGTCATGATACTTAAACAATAGGAATTTTACATTCGTTTGTGTTTATTTGGATGTTTGCTTCTCTAAATGAATTGCAAACTTTATAAGGACAGCATTAAGTGTTTTTACTCACTATTTCATCTCCCAACACTAGAACAACTTGTGGAACACACAGCTGGCTTTCAAGTATTTGTTGGAAGAATGGAGATAAGGTCTACCAACATTAAGGACTAGAGAAGAATGCCAACCAAGAAGCTGCTCTTTTCACAAAGGGAATTTGACAAAAGAAACAACACATAAAACTGGAACTATGCAAAATGCATTGCTGCACTGTTTAGTTTCTGAGTTGTGATTCCTGAGAAGAAAATTATGATTCAAGAATATATTCTGTTTTTGATAATTAAGGTAGTTCCTCAGTTAATTTTTTACTTTTACCCCTGGGGTCAAGTGATCCTTCCGCCGTGGCCTCCCAAAGTGCTGGGATTATAGGCTGAGCCACAATGTCCAGCCTTTAGTTAGTTCTCAGTAACTCCTTAGTTCCCTGTTAGTTACTTAGAATTCACTTCCTCATGCATAACACATATGAGGATTAGGTATGTAGACAGCCTCTGAAAAGAATACTCCTTTATTAATATAATCCTATAAAAGTAAGCCCTATCTTAATCAATTGTGCATAAGATTTTTTTTTTTTTTAAATCCCATTTTTTGAGGAAAAAACTCTCAACCTTTCCACGGTGTCTGATATTTTTTTTTTTTTCCCAGTTTTATGTTTTTTTTTTTTTTTTGAGATGGAGTTGACCTCGTGTTGCCCAGGCTGGAGTGCAATGGCACGATCTCGGCTAACTGCAACCTCCGCCTCCCGGGGTCAAGTGATTCTCCTGCCTCAGCCTCCCCAGTAGCTGGGATTACAGGCATGTGCCACCATACCCAGCTAATTTTTTGAATTTTTAGTAGAGATGGGGTTCCCCTATGTAGGTCAGGCTGGTCTCAAACTCCTGACCTCACCTCAGGTGATCCCCCCCCGCCCTCAGCCTCCCAAAGTGTTGGAATTATAGGTGTGAGCCACCACGCTGGGTGCATGAAATTCCTTAGGAACTAGGAGAGATTAAATAAATTCTCAGTTAATAGTACCACCACCCATTCAAGTTATTCAAGCTAGAAATTTTAAATCACCTTGTATTCTTTTTCCTTCATAAACTGTATCAACAAATCCTTGAAGTTATCTCTCTCATCTGTCTTCTGTGTAAATGAATCCAGCCTAAGTTTTCATCCTTCACCTAGATAACTGCAGTAATTCCTTTCTAGCTGGTTTTCCTGTTCTAGGTTCTTCCTCCTCCAGTTATCTACTACACTATTAACAGAAGAAAGTTCTGAAACACAAATCTGATAGTGCCATCGCCTTGCTTATAAATTTTTAATGGCTGCTGATTACATATCGGACAAGGCATATGTCCTTCATTAATTCTTCTCACCTATCCAAATGCCACAGTCCAGGAGAAATTGAGGTTGATATTCTGGAGAAAGGATAACTGTTAAAGCCAAAATCTGAAGTCAATGAACACAAAGATGGGTATCTCATCATCTGAGCTTGGAGGAGAACATGTAGAAAAATTTACAAGTAGTGGGCACAAAGTTGAAAAAAGATGATAAGGTTCAAGAGTATCTTTAGAAAAACTGAAGGAGTAAGAATGTGAGGGAGTAAAATTACGCTATTCCCATAACTCTGCAATCACACAAGTTTCTAAAACTAATCTCTTGTACTTCACTACTTGTATTTTGTATGAGCACTTTATTTTTCCAATGCAGTTGTCTAATTTATTTCTTATTTATATTTCTATGTCCAAACAATCATGTCCTACAAGGTATTTGCTTTTGCTTTTCTTCAGGCACATTATCACCCAGAGATGACAGATACAATATTAACTTATTGGTGCCTGTATCTTAGTGTCATGTGTGTAGTGGGCTTTTATTCAAGAATTATATACCACTTCTCGGCCTTTGGCTAAGACCAAGTGTGAAGAATTATATAAATGCTTATTATTTTTACTCAAGTAGCTTTTTAATTGCTTTTATATAAAATTGTGCATTACAAAACAGCATTAATCAGGCACTACTATTTTATAATATGCTATCAAGATGTGGTTTTTATTAAAAAATATTCAAAATAATTCATTTTAATCAAAATAATTTTTCTGTCAAAATTCTACATTTTGGCAACAAGACTTATCTTGCTAATTTTTAAAATTATGTGCTTTTTAAAACAAAGAGATACTGAAGACAAATGAAGAAAATGATTTTAAATTAATCTATATAGTTTTGGTACTCATCTTGCTGTCAAAAATGGGCATCTTTACATCCCCAAGTCATACCCAGGCAACTTCACCTCAAACTAAAAAAGAGCTTCTGTACTTATTATCTATTACAATTCTATACTAAATAACTTGACTATACTAGAGATTCACCTACTGTGATAGTTTAAAACGTTTTCAGTGGCCTAATGAAATGACACCTTTTAAACACTAGCCAAAAGTGCAACCTAAGTTAACAACTAATGTAGCACTCAAAACACACATACTTGGAGTGGACTTTTTTTTTTTTTTTTTGAGACAGAGTCTCACTCTGTCCCCCAAGCTGGAGTGCAATGGCGTGGTCTCAGCTCACTGCAACCTCTGCCTCCTGGGTTCAGGTGATTCTCCTGCCTCAGCCTCTCAAGTAGCTGGGACCATAAGTGTGTGCCACCATACCTGGCTCCAGCAAATTTTTGTATTTTTAGTAGAAACGGGGTTTCACTATGTTGGCCAGGTTGGTCTTGAACTCCTGACCTCATGATACACCCACCTTGGCCTCCCAAAGTGCTGGGATTACAGGCCTGAGCCACTGTGCCCGGCCTGGAGTGAACTTTTTAATAAAATAATTGAAGTTTTAACACTGAATTATAATGTACTAATATGCTTTTCTAAAATAAAGCAAATGAGATAATATTTAAAGGTCCCCTTCAGTCTATGTTTTGAATATGAATTCATTAACTGCCTTAAAATAGCAGTATATTTCCATCTATCATCATATTTTTGATAGTCACTTAACTTAGGTTATGCTTTTGCATCTCCAACTCTACAAAATGACTGAAGACTTTTAGTATATCTGACAATGAAGTTGGTATAATCAAGTATTTAAAAAGGTAACCGTTCTGTCAATTATTCAAAGACTGAATTTCACACAAAACTATGTTTAAGGCCGGGCGCGGTGGCTCAAGCCTGTAATCCCAGCACTTTGGGAGGCCGAGGCGGGTGGATCACGAGGTCAAGAGATCGAGACCATCCTGGTCAACACGGTGAAACCCTGTCTCTACTAAAAATACAAAAAAAATTAGCTGGGCATGGTGGCGCGTGCCTGTAATCCCAGCTACTCAGGAGGCTGAGGCAGGAGAATTGCCTGAACCCAGGAGGCGGAGGTTGTGGTGAGCCGAGATCGCGCCATTGCACTCCAGCCTGGGTAACAAGAGCGAAACTCCCTCTCAAAAAAAAAAAAAAAAAAAAAAAAAAAAAAAACCTATGTTTAATACCTAAGATTCTCATTTTAAGGTGAAAATATAATTTGAATGTCAAAAGCAATTATGTTGCCTGCCTTTCTAGAACATTAAACTCAATATTCCCATATCCTGTACCTAGTACAAGGTACTTTTACCTAGGCTCCCCAAGACACTTCAACAAACTCACAGGTTTCCAAGGAATATTTTAAATTGTCAAGAAAAAGTGGTATGTGTCAAATACCTTATGAACTACTACTAAGTTACATGGGGCACTTGAAAAAATATTGAAATATATCAACTGAGAAAGTCTGGCAACTTTGGCAATGTGTAATTTTAAAGTAGATTTTTAAAGCAACCTCTATTTCTTTTGAAATGGTAAAGCACGTGTGTCATATTTACCTGAGATATATTTGTCAACCTCTGAAATTCAAGTCAAAAGTAATTTACCAATCTAAAGGCAGGAAAAAACTCCACTTCTGAACACAGATTAAATTCTAAAATATATTCATTATGGCACTCACAATATAGTACTAAGATTAAAAGAATGAAAATATATCCCGCCTCTCTGCCTACAGGGCCCATTGGAGCAGTTATTCAAACAGAATAGTTTTGTAATTTATTCTTCCCCTTTATTTAGTATCTTTTAATTGATAGGCCTTTCCCAATTACTTGTTCTGTTCATTAGCCAAGTGACCCACATCTCAATATTAATTGGTTCCATCCAGGGTGCTATTCCTACCTTAGGACTAATACAGGAATTACTTGTATTTCATTTGTCATGAAAGTCACAAAACCCTTAAATTGAAAGGACGTTAGGATAAGTGGATCTGCAAAAGGAATGCTGAAAGCAGAGAGGAAAACAGACTTGCTAGAAGACAGAAAACCCTGGCTCTGAGCAAGACAGAAGAAACTGACCTCCAGGCCAAGATTCAATTTGGATAGCCTTCTTCATTTGTAAAACAAAAGGATTACAGTAAAATTTAGATCTGTTTCACAGCATCACTTAAGATCTAGTTAGAAATAGACTCTCAAGAGTACCCTGGAGATTCTATTCTAGCTCAGTAAATTGTAGCTGAAATCACAATCTGTGCAAGTGATTCTGGTAGACAGCCAGATTTGGGAACTGTGACAGACACTTTCAGTTGACTCACCCAAGTCAGTGCTAACTCCCTTTTTTCTTGCTTGCCTCTACTATGGATGCTAAAAAAAAGGCTCAATATTCATTTTCCAGCCTTCCCTGAAGCTAGGAATGGTCTTTTAAACAGCTATGGCAAATGATCTGTAAAATGAAGTCTGTCAATGCCACTATCCAGTCCCTTCTCCTCTCCTTTCTTCCTGCTTTTAATTCTGACTTAATGTCTAAAGGTACAGAAGTATCTTGTTTCTACAACCTAGATGCTAAGAGTGGCAGAGCAGAAAGAGAAAAAAGGATACCAAGAACACCTGGATCCACTGCATCCACCTAGACTAGCGATTTGAGGAAAATACCCCCTTTTTTGTTTAAACTACTATTAGTTGCTTGTAGCTGAAAGCATTTCTAAACAACATAGCAATGAAAGAGGAGATGATCTCAAAGGTACAACTCAGATCTAATATTAAAGTTCTAATTTTAAATAATTTAATTGTCCAGAGAAGGATACCTTTCTACATCTTTGATGCATGGCTACCCAGACAATGATACAAAATGTAAAGACACCATTTCGAAAGTTACCACAGTTTTGCCAATTCCCATTTTTTACATAGATTTTCATTCGGTTCAAGAGGACATTCTGTTAAATCCAAGTTCGCAAACTGAATTAAAATGAGTATATCTTATGGCAACACTACACTTATCCTATGGAAACACTGCACGTAGTCTCAGCTACTCGTGGGGCTGAGATGGGAGAATCGCTTGAGCCCAGCAGGACGAGGCTGCCGTGAGCCAAGATCATCCCCAGCCTGGGTTATGAAAAAGTGAGACCATGTCTCAAAAAAAAAAAAAAAAAAAAAAAAAAAAAAAGCTACACCTTACATACATTTTAAATGAACAAATTTAACAATGCCCTTGTAGTTTCAGAAGGTCAGAAAGGCTAAATACCAGGGTATTCTTCATGCATCTTCCTTTCCCGTCCCCATCTTTCAGCCTAACTTGCTAATCTGAAAATGAGAAACACTGTTTACATGCAGGAAAAATACCTTCTGCAGGAGTCGCTAACAGGGCTAACTTGAGGAAACCAGTGCACTGCAGCAAGTCATCCTTTTTTCTAAGTTCGGCTCTGGCTAAAAAAACAACTGTCCCAAGGTTGAACTAGCATAAAAGAGAAAATAATAGCCAACATATCCTCAAAATAGACCCTTCCATTTTGCCCTGTATCTAATTCACATTAAAGACAACAACTGCAGATATACAAAGTATGTCAGTAAATACTGACCGATCATGTCAAGGAACCAAGCTAGACAACGCAGATGGCTGGGTGGCTAATTGGGAATGGATGAGAAGAAAGGGTTCAAAGAGATGCTGCAAAAAACACAATAAATTGAGCAAACTTCCAATTTTTCTATTAGGCAATACCACCTTTAATCATCATGTAAATAATAACTTGATTGGGAATGCACTGATTATCAAACATGTTTTGGTTAACTTTTCATTTAACCTACCAGTAACTGTTGGGTTGTTGTTCACTATAGCCAGAGATCCTGTGTGGTTTCGGATGAGATTGTCTTGAGTCGATGGAAGGCCTGGAGCTGACCACGTTAGAGTACTGTATCCTGAAAGACTTTGCTGCTGGTGGTGCTGTTGTGATGGTGGAGGTGGAAGTGGTGATGGATGGCTGACAGCTGTATTTTGACCAGAGAATGAATTATCTTTAACTGGCCTAACAGTTGGAGCATTCTGTGAGGTAAACATTTGCCCATATGTATCACCAGCAGGCAGAGAGGGATATGAAACACTAGGATACGCAGTATTAGAAACAGTTGACATAGCATAATGACCACAAGTAGAGGGAAATCCCTGAGAAGCAACAGAAGTATTGGCAGAGTACATGGCTGGACTATTGTAGTGATTCACAAAAGAGGAGTATGGTTGGGAGGCACTCGTATGCAAATGGGATGCTGATGATGCAGCACCTTGAAAAGATCCTGGAGTGGATCCCACAATATGAGGGGCAGGAGGACCCCTGCTGTACATCTGCTGTGCTCCTGGCTGTTGGTTCGCTGTGCTAGGAGTCACATTTTGTGTTGGTACTGTATAGAGAGCAGAGTAGTAATCACCACACTGGGTATCCAACGGTAATGAGATCATTTTCCCAGGTCCTTGAGAGTAATGTCCTGAGGGAGCAATATAGTTTTGATGATGCAATCCATATCCAGATGGAACCTGCATTTGATTCTGGGCTGGACCTGAAAAAGAAAAGCAAATATTTACAGGGACTGGTAAAGAGATAACTAATTTTTAAACATAGTCCCCATTTAAATGTTGACCCAATTAACTTTCTTTTCCATAATCCCAACTTATCACAAAAGATATACACTGTTATAGACCCATTATGGTAGCCAGCATCCAACATGTCCCCAATGATCCCTACCTCCTGTCATTCATACCCTTGTGTAGTTCTCCCTCCCAGTGTACCAGGACTGGTTTGTATGAACAATAGCATACGGCAGAGGTGATGACATGTCTCTCAGATCACTCAGTCTGAAAGAAGCAAGCTCCAAGCTGTGAACAGCCCTATAAAGAAGCCCATGCAGTGACGAACTTAACTCTGGCCAATAGCCAAAGATAAACTAAGATCTGCCAACCACCACGACTGAGCTTTCAGGCAGTTCCTTCAAACTCAGTAGAGCCTTGAGATTCAACTATAGACTAGCTAACAGCGTATCTCATGAGAGACCCTCAACCAGAACCAACTAGCTAGGCTGCTCCTTTATGTTCCTGAGAAACTGTGAAATAAATTGTTGTTTTAAGTTGTTAAGTTTTGGGGTATTTTGTTATACAGCTATCAAACTAACATACGTAGCCTGGAAGAAGTTTAAACTTTTTTTTTGAGACAGGGTTTCACTCTGAAACCCAGGCTAGAGTGCAGTGGCACGATCACGGTTCACTACAGCCTTGTTTTCCTAGGCTCAGGCAATCTTTTCACCTCAGCCTCCCAAGTAACTGGGATTACAGGCATGCACCATGGTGACCAACTAATTTTTACTTACTTATTTTCTACAGATACGGGCTTTCACTGTATTGCCCAGGCTGGTCTCCCATACACCATTGCCCAGCTAATGTTTTATTTTTTGTAGACGCAGGGTCTCACTGTGTGCCCTGGCTGGTCTTAAACTCCTGGACTCAAGTGATCCTCCTCCTTCAACCTCTCAAAATGCTGGGATTATAGGCTTGAGCCCCTGTACACAGTCAAAACCTTTTTAGGTTTTTTTTTTTTTCCTAACTATAAAAGTAACAATATAACCACTGTAGAAAAAAATTCAAACAATGAAGAATATAAAGTAAAAATCTCTGCCTAGTAGCTTATATCCTATTTCTGAGATATAGTTACAGTTAATAGTTATGTATCCTTTGTATACATATGCGTGCCACCGGGCTGGCTAATTTCTGTATTTTTAGTAGAGAGGGGGTTTCACCAGGTTGTTTAGGCTGGTCTCAAACTCCTGACCTTGTGATCAGCACACCTCGGCCTCCCAAAGTGCTGGGATTACAGGCGTGAGCCATCATGCCCAGCGGCAAATATCTCCTAAAAAGGTAACCAATTTATACCTCCCATCAATAATGCTTTAGATCACCTCATTGTCCCAACACTGAGTCTATTTCATTCTTTTACAATCTGAAAAGTGAGAAACATTTTAGTTTACAGTAGTTAACTTTCAATGATGCTGAGACTCTCATTTGGGTCTTTCTCTGCTGTTTGCTTTTCTTCTACAGCATTGTGATTTCCTTAGTAATTTTTAACTGTTCTCACAGAGTAGAAAATTAGCCTAATGTTATGTGCTGTAAGTATTATCCCCAGGTTAATGTTATGTTTTAACTTTGTTCATGGTATCTTTTGCTATGGTTTCTTGATCATTACATTGTAAAATTCTTTTTTATGCTTGACAGATTTTTAAATCATACTTAGTAGAGGTTTCTCCATTTCAAGATTATAAAACCAAACAACCATGTTTTATTCTAATGTTTTATACTTTCATTTTTATATATTTATATATTTGATAATAATGGCATGTATTTATTTTATACCAACAAAACATTAATCCTAATATTAATCTTAATGTTATTAAATAATTACATTATATGCCACTCACTGTTCTAAATGCTTAACATATATTAACTTCTTTAATCCCCTAAAGCAAATAGTATTATACCCATTTATCAGTAAGTTAAATGAGGCACAAAAGTTAATATGTTTAACACAGTTACATGCTTAGGAACTAACTGGGCTGGAATCTGGCTCAAGTTCATGCTCTTAACCAATTATCTGTTGCCACTCACTACAAATGGCTAATTGTCCCAACAATGACATTCTAGTCTTAGTTTTGTTTACTTTTCTATGGGTTTTGGGCAAATCTTAATTACCTTGGAATCTAGTTTTTCTGCCTTGTGGAAGGAAACAGGTACCGGTGCCATTATCTCAAATGAAAGGATAATGTAACAGAAAACTAACAAGCCGTTTTAACTCCACTGACACAAATACACAAAGGAAGTGCACTATACTCTTTGACATAATAATGTATTAAAATATTTGTTTATAAAAGAGGTAAGAATGAAGTATACATTTTCTAATTGTTTTAATTTTTACTAAATAATGCAATGGAATCTTCATTTCTCGTCATGTAATTATATTCCATAGCCATCATAAAGATAACTTACGGCCGGGCGTGGTGGCTCAAGCCTGTAATCCCAGCACTTTGGGAGGCCGAGGCGGGTAGATCACGAGGTCAAGAGATCGAGACCATCCTGGTCAACATGGTGAAACCCTGTCTCTACTAAAAATACAAAAAATTAGCTGGGCATGGTGGCGCGTGCCTGTAATCCCAGCTACTCAGGAGGCTGAGGCAGGAGAATTGCCTGAACCCAGGAGGCGGAGGTTGCGGTGAGCCGAGATCGCGCCATTGCACTCCAGCCTGGGTAACACGAGTGAAACTCCGTCTCAAAAAAAAAAAAAAAAAGATAACTTACACAGTCAAGCTGCAAGGGAAAAATATCATCTACGCTCCTCCTATAATTCCAAGAAGTATACAGAGAACCAAAATACTGATAACACTATTTTACCAGGTGTACAGTTTACTTTTCTTACAGATTATTTTACATGGTCATAATCCATCTGAATTTATTTACTTAAGGAAATGAAGTCTATTAGAAATCTTTCATGAACATGACAAAAGTAAAATGTTGTCCTCCTTTCTCCTATTTATACGCATTAAAAGATGGATGTGCTACCTTTCACTATAGTGTCAGAAAACTCTCCACTAGTAGAATTTATCAATGAAGAGCCAAGTTAGATTTAGAGAAATCTGTTTAAATATCTACACACTTAATGATTGATTTGGCATATCCATGCTACATGATCTGAAAAGAAAGAAATAATCATTATGTACCAACCATTCAAATAACATTCTTTTAAAAATAACAAGAATGTTCTATCTGCTGAAATTTATCAAAAGTTACTCACCAGAATAAGTCTATTTATTTTCTAGCCTATCAAAGAAAGATACTTATTCTGGGAAAACATGGTGGCGGGACTATCTAACATAACTAAGTATATGTGGATGCTTACCATTCCTTACTTTACATCAAGATCTAAATGTTACAAATGCATAAAAAAAGTATCTGAAAGTAATTAAAATTAATAAAAAGAGATAAATGTATATCATTTTTAACATGTATTCAGTATTTTAAAATTACTGAGATATTTTGCTTTTTTTTATTTTTTGTACAATTTCTTTTATTTATTGATTGATTTTTTAAAGACGGGGTTTCACCATGTTGGTCAGGCTGATCATGAATTCCCGACCTCAGGTGATCTGCCCGACTTGGCCTCCAACCGCCTGTCTTGGCCTCCAAAGTGCTTGGATTACAGGCATGAGCCACCACACCCGGCCTTTTTGTACTATTTCTTTAAAAATCATTGCGTATTTTACACTTAGAGTACTTCTCAATCTGATCAACCATATGTCAAGTACTCAATCAACAGCCAGGTAGAGCTACCACCACTGACCACCACACTGGACAGTGAAAGTCTACAGCATATATGTCTATGATTCCAGTTGTTTCTGCCTCTCATGACAGATTAAATTTTCAGCCCTCAGTAGTTTCTCCCCTTATTCTTTTCTAGTGTATCTGCTTCAATTTCTTTCCATATTTTATTTAAGCTCTATGGCTTCCAAATATTGTATTCCAAGAAAGAACTATTTTTCTAAGAGTAGAGCAACACAGTGATTATGCACATATATACCCATATTATGTTTAACTTATCTGAAGACAAAACTCCTGTAATCATTCACCTGTGATCTTTCTGGGAATTCAAAATCATTCTGTAGCATGTATGAAAAGACTGCTGTTATTTTAATACTTCTAAAATAGAGATAAATGTTGTAGAGGAGAAAAGAAATTTGTTACGCATATAGTCAAACTTCTGAAAAATAACTTTCTTATCACAAATGTGACAGTCATTGTTAAAAAAAAAAAAAAGAGAAAGTGATCAAATAAAAATCATCTGTAATCTTCCTGAGATAACCTCTGTTAACATTCCGATGTATATCCACCAAGAATTTTTTTTCATGTGTATGTATAATTTAGTCAAGCAAAAGTTGGATTATAATGTACCTTTTTAAATGATTTCTTCATTTAGCATGATTTGAATATCTTCCCATAATTTTTAATGTTTGAATAATATTCCATTACATAAATGTACCATATTTTAATCAATTTTCTATTTGCCATTTAGGTTTTCAATTTTCTAACATAAACCACATGATAATTAATAGATCTGCAGATAAATTTTTGTGCTCATTCACTTTACTAAAAATAACTTCCTATCAGTTGCAATTGTTGGGTCAAGTCCCTAGATGGCAGTTTAACTGTGCAGAAATGGGAGATGTCAAGATGCCCAGCAAAAAGGGAGGTAGTGAACAAAATTAAAATGGGCCCAGAAGCTAAATTTGGCAAAGACTTCAAAGTCTTTATAAATATATTCCAAAAACGAAAAGAAAATATATTCTAAAAACTGGGGGGAAATGTTTCCAGTTGAATGAACAGAGGAGGGATATTATGACAAATGAAAAGTGTTTAAAAAATTAAAATATTCGGCCGGGTATGGTGGTTCATGCTTGTAATCCCAGCACTTTGGGAGGCCGAGGCGGGTGGATCATGAGGTCAGGAGATCGAGGCCATCCTGGCC